ATCTGCATCAGCATCAGCATGATCACCACCACAACCACCACCATCATCAACATCAGTAGCATCATCATCACGATCAGCATCAGCATCAGCATCATCATAATCACCACCAGTAGCATCATCATTATCATCATCATAATCAACACCATCATCATCATCCTCATCATCATCGTCATCCGCAACGTCATCATCATCATCATCATCATCATCATCATCATCATCGACACCATCGGTATCATTATCTGTAACAACAAACCGATTACCCTGATGCACCATGCTTCCATCTACCACATGAAACCATCGTGATGCCACCCCCTTTTATCGGGGACCTATATGAAAAAGAGTGGCCGCATTCCCTCAACCAGATCTCCCGCCCAAGGAGGTAGAGACAAGACCTCTCCCGAGGCACTTTACGACCTGCATCTCTGGAGTATCGAGAGAGAGCGCTATTATTGGTGAGTGCCTGACTCGCGGTGACAAGGCGTGAGCACCACTCCTGAGTCAAAAGCAAGGAAATATCGAGCAGGAGCGCTGGTTCTGTTGAGGTGCCGCATTCTGCGGCGAGAGGGAGAGCGCCTCCCCTAGGTGCAAAGCAAAGAAATATCGAGCGGGAGCGCTGGTTTCGTTGGAGAGTCAGCGTTCGGCGGCGAGCAGGAGCGCCAATCCTGGGAAACATGAAGATAATCTATCGAGCGGAGACGGCGCTCTTGCACGGAGGGGCTGGTGGGCGAGGCCGCTAACACCGCGCCACGGAGTCCACGGCGTGGACGCCATGCCGGCGCTCGTACGGCGCCGGGCGATAAAAGGCGCTCGGACGCGCTTCCGAGGCCGACGCTGAGCTCAGCGTCCGCCTCGCAGCGAGCTCGGGCCGCTCCGCACTCCTGCCCGTCTGCCTGCGCGGCCGTCGGCGCCGGAGATGACCGGGTGTGGCGGCAGGTGGCCTGGCCGACGCCTCCGTCGACTGGTGCGCTGCAGCGCTCTGCTTCCTGCAGGCTTGTGCGTCACCGCGGGCCGGCGCCAGCAGCTCGGCGGCGGCGCGGCGGCGGCCGAGGCCCCGTGCCCGAGGCGGCCGGTCGGAGGGGCGGGCGGCCGGGCGCACAACTCACACGTGGCGGCGATCTGGCCCGAGTTCTGCTGCACCTTTGGTGGTGGCAAGTCTGGCCCGAGCCGGTCGTCGGCGTGGCAGGCTCCCCGCCAGAGTCCGGGAGCAACGCCCGAAGGAGAACCCAAGGCCGACGCGGAAAGCCTCAGACAGCTGGTCAACAAATCGCCAAGGAGGGGCTGTACCCGCGGCGCGGGGGCGGCCCGAGGCGGGTGTTGCGCGCCCGAGGGCAGGGCGTGGGAGCAGAAGGCCAGCCGCTTGCCTACGTTTCTGCCCCAGCCGAGTCTGGGCGAAGCTGGTGCAGAGAACGGCGTGCTGGGGCTGGTCGGCTGGACGTCCCTCATCCCACCCTCCGTCCCCCCCTCCCTTTCCGTTCACCGTCCTGTCCGCTCCTCGTCGTCCTCCAAGGAAAAAGATGCGCCCGCTCGACTCGAACAGCCCAGGGCACAAGCATGTTTCAGAGATGCGCCCAAAGACTGCGCCAAGAGACGGTTGCAGGGACGAACTGTCAGTCGCAGGCCTAGAGGTTGACACCAACACCAGTATCGGCGGTGTGCTTCCACCGAAGGAAGAAGATCCCGATCTCGGTGATGGTGGTAATACTATGGCTTCCAAGGTGGCCGAACTATTACCACCAACGCCGAAATCTAGGATCATCTTCCCCCTGCGAATGCAACCCCTTGTGTTGGTGTTGGTGCCCACTTCCAAGCCTCCGAGTCAGGTTTTTAGTACGGGGTCGTGCCACGCAGGGCTGCGTCTGGACGGGGGCGGAAAGACGAGGAACGGGAGGCCGAAAAGGACGAGGAGGACAAGGGGACGGGGGACGGAGGGTGGAGGCAGTGAGGGCGGCAATGAAGGGGCCCCAGGACACACAAGTAAATACACACAATAAACATATGCCCCATATTTCCAATATTTTCTGGGTTGTTGTCTTCCCCCCCCCCACTTCCCATATTTTCCTGGGGGTCGACGATTAATTGTGTCTGTGTGCGTTTTCCCCTCCTGAGGCAAAAGGGGAGAGGAGTGATCGGGAGAAGCTTGTGCGGGGGCAGGGGGCGATGAGCGATGAGGATCCGGAGGAAGCTCTGGGAGGGCGGATAAATGAGGAGGACACGGGAAAAATCATGTGACAGGGGGCGGCGGGTTCGACGACGACGCCAAGTCAAGCGACATGTGCACTCACGTTCCTGCTGCTCCGTGCGTCCTCGCGACCGATGACTCGGCGACGGGTCGCCCCAGAAACTCGCGTTCCAAGAGCGCCCTCGCTTGGAAAGAAAGAAACTAAGCACCGACTCCCCATGCCCCCAGTGCCCGGCGTTCCCCGATGACCTGACACCCAGCAGCGAGAGAGCGGCTGCCATCCTGAAGCGGGTCTGCTCTCAGTTCCAGCAGCTTCCTCACCTGCAGGAGAGCTGAAACACCGTCATTCGCGCACACGGAGGTCACCGAAGCGACGACAACGGCAACACAAGCGGCAACTGCAACGCGATTGCTGGCAAGCCCGATGGGTTGAAACAGCTCTGGAATGAAATTGGGGGGTGGCACGCGACACGCACACAAAGAACATGCAGCAAACGCGCCGACTTGATTTCAAAAACACGCCTTCCAGTATTAAGTCCCGCCCTTGGAAATAATTCGCACAAGCCCCTTGAGTGCGAGATCAACGTACCATCACAGATTGGGATATAGGTGTATAGGAGAAGGTGCAATACCGATGGTGGTGGCGGCAGGATCAGGATAAAGGCCTTTTTTTATCATACCCACGGACGCAACTTGAACGCGGCAGGCGGCGCGCGCTACATCAGCAGAGAGGGCGGCGCCGCGTGGACCAGAATGGCGGCGGACGAGCCAGCTGCATAAGCCCCCACGGGGCGCACCTTCCAAGTCGAGGAAGGGAGCGCAGCTCGGCCGCCGCCACCTCGCATACAGGTCCGAGGCAGCATCTTCGACTAACATAGAGCGCCCGCGCAGCCACCGAAACAACGGGAAAGGGGGGCCGATTGGCTTCCCCCCCTGGACCTCCTCTGTTCGAACCCCCACCCTTCCCCTCCTTGTTTCCGTGCTCGGGAGCTCTTCCCCTCTTCCGCGCTCCCGGCCCCCTTTCCACGGGGGGCTTAGCTACCCCCCCTGTGGCCCCCCTGCCGAAGGCCCCCCGTAAGTTTGCCCGACGCGCCTGAACCTGATCCCGAAGCGTCTCCCCGAGCGCACCCCTTGCCCCGACTCGCCGCTTCTCGAGATGTCCGCACAGCCCGTCGTAATCCTTCATCTTCTGCGTCGCTGTAGAGCTCAGGTGCAGGACGAGGCTTGGGCGTGGAATGCCAGTTCAGCCCAGCGGTTCATCGGTTGCACGACGTGATCCAGGCTGAATTGGCGGATCGGTATGTCTGGTGGCGTAGGCGGTGACTGCGTTGCCCCGCCCGGCTCGAACTTTTCCCGCAGTTCTCCAAGACGTATATCCGTGCATTTGGCTCGTGGTCCTTCACGCGTTGGAGTTGGGGCATCACTGGCTTGGGTTGCATGTGCTCCTTGGTTTTCTCCATGGGGTATAATCAGCTCGTAGGCCAGGTACCTGCTGGAAATTTCCATGAGCCGCGGGCGTCGCCATCGCCGGCAACGCGAGCAGGGGCGTCGAATACCGATGGTTCGACCTGGGCGCGCACCGAACCGGAGGCCCCAGCTGCATCTGCACCACGACTCTCGCTGGATCGTTTGATCACCCCCCGCATGTCGCAGTGGTCCGCCGCCCTGTTGACAACGACGTTGTCGACCTTCTCGCGGCTTGACCCGCGCGGTGAACGCAAACTTGGAAGTGAACTGGAAGATGCTGGCAACGGACTTGGAGCGACTGGAGGGCGCCCAGATACCCTCTTTGGCTTGGCCTAGCGGCCCTTGCCGATGAGGCTGCCGAAGACTATGGCGTTGCATAGTTCTTGGCATTCTCCAGCTTCGGCGCAGCAGGTCGTTCAGGTCGGTCGCGCCCCCGCGAATCGTCTGCCCGCGCCGCTCCCAAGCCCCCCCTTAGGGCGGGTCTCCTGATGCCCGCGGGAGCCGAGGTGCGCCTGCGAGCGGGGCTGGTGCACTGGTCATTCTTCTCCTGCGCCAGCGGCGGCGCTCGGCGCCTTCGGGAAGATGGCGACGCAGAGATCTCAAACAAATGCCCCGTCTTGGGCGTTGCGGGGGCCTCGGGGCCTAGGCCTAGGTTCTGTCGGGCCGCGTAGTTGCGCCTGGCCCGCCCCAGCTCTCGGTCGCCTTTCCACGGCGCGCCCTCTAAGTCGGTGACCTCAGATGGCCGAAGGTGGGCATTGCCCCGGCCCCGACAGTCGCGAAATGGATCTCCCCAGCGAAGGCACCCACGAAATAGGCGTCGCCAAGATCGCGGCGTTCCATCGCGTCGTAGAAGACGAGGTAGAAGTAGTCCTCCGCGGCCCCCGCGAGGTACAAATGCTCCTGCTGTTTTTCCTGGGTAGATCTCAACGCACCGCGGCGCCAGCGACGAGGGCATCGGAGGTCGGGGCGCGACCTTACCCAGCAAATTGGGGACAATCGCGCGCGAGATGCCGACCGGCACTGCAATTGCGACACTTCATAAGTTGGCCGCATGTCTCCGAAGCGGGGTGCCTTCGCGGCGCCCCCTCTCCTCGGGGGCGAGTCCGACTTCGGGCCCCCCCGCCTCGCCATTTGCCCCCACCTCCGGAGAGCAATTCTTCACGGGCGCCCCCATCGTAAATTTGCGCGCCTCTATTCGTTAATCGTCGGCGCCCTCCGCGGCCCCCTCGCCCCCCACCTTTCACACTGCGTTTCGCGACGCGCCCGGCCCTCCCGGCCTGCTCTCGCGCGTGACGCCGCCAGCGTGCATTGCTTTAAATGAAATAGGACTTGCGCGCGGTCCTCCGGCAAATTGGCCAGGTCCTTCCACGCGCGCTCGGCGTCGCAATTGGGGGAGGCCGCCTCCGCGCCAGCGCCGTTGCCGCCCTCTTTCTTCTGCAGGGCCCCCCCGCAGAGCGGCTGTCGGGCGGCCGTTCGAGCCGCCGTTGCGGTCGACGGCGCCCCGGCGCCCAAGTTTCCTCGAGCGCCCCGGGGCCCCGGAGCCGCGGTTGCCCGAGATCCAAACGCCGGGGCCCCCGTCAGGACATCTTCCCATCGCGCGCCAAGCAGGCAAACAATAGCAACGCGCGAACCTGCTCTGCCGCGGCCACCCGTCGGCTGAGCGACGTGGCCCGGCGCCCCGGCGGCAAGGCGCCGACGTCGTCGGGCGGGCTCGAGCACGCTCGCGCAATCTTGCCGAGCGCGGGGCGTCAACCCGCGGAGCGGCTGCAATAGCGAGGCCACTTCGCCCAGCGGGGCGCACTAGGCTCGGGCCCGGGGTGGCAAATGATTAAAAGTTGTCTGGTCAGAAACCTGCTGCGTCCGCCTCCACGCGGGCGATCTCCCGCCCGGCCACGGCGACCGCTGGTTTCGCCGACGGCTGGTCTCGCCCGGCCTTCTTCGCCCGGCCGGTCTCGCCCACCAGCTCTGTCGGCGAAACCAACTCCGTCGGCGAAACCAGCTGCCGTCGGCGAAACCAGCCGCTGTCGGCGAAACTGCCCGACCCGACCCGCCTGCCACGGCCCGCCCGCCCGATCCGACCCGCCCGCCAGGGCTCGCGCGTGCTCGGCCAAGCGCGCCCCGCGCTTTAACGCCCCGCCCGCCCGCCCGGGCCCGCCCGCCCAGCCCGGCCCGACCCGCCCGCCCGGCCCCGCCCGCCCGACACTCCCCGCCCTCGAAGGTTTTCTCGCGCTCGGTGAAGCGCGCCCCGCACTTTCACGCCCCGCCCGCCAAACCCGACCCGCCCGCCAGGACCCGCCCGCCCGACCCGAGCCGACCCGCCCGCGAGGGCCCACCCGCCCGACACGGCCCACCCGCCAGGGCTCGCGCGCACTCGGTCGAGCGTGCCCCACACTTCAGCGCCCCGCCCGCCCGACCCGACCGACCCCGCCCGCCGCGGCCGGCCCGCCCGACCCGAACCGGCCGTCAGGGCTCGCGTGCGCTCGGTCAAGCGCGCCCCACACTTCAACGCCCCGCCCCGCCCGACCCGACCCGCCCACCCGCTAGGGCCCGCCCGCCCGAGCCGACCCGCCCGCGAGCGCTCGCGCCAGCGAGAACAGCGCCAGCAAAACCAGCGCCAGCGAAACAAGCCGCGCATCAAGCCGTCGGCGAAACCAGCGGGGCGAAACCAGCGCCGGCGAAACCAGCCGTCGGGGCGAAACCAGGGCAGGCGAAACCAGCGCCGGCGAAACCAGCTCATGCCCTGGCCAACGGGCTGTCGATCCGCTCGTTGGGCTGGACGCAGATGTCCATCATCTCCTGTCCCTGACATAGTTGGCGTTCGACTTCCAGACTCTCGGCGTTCTTTGCTAAGTAGCGCAGCAGGTCGGTGGCCGGGTCTGCTCTGGCCCCGTTCATCCCCGCGCCGAAATTGACTACGGCGGGGGGCATCCGCATCGCAATGGTGCGCGCGAGGCCTTGTAGCCCACGCTGCAGGGCTGGTGCTCGCTGCGAAAGAAAGAATCGTCGCCCTGAGTGGACAAGGAGCCAAGCGCGCACCTCGCGCATCCACGCGCGGCATGGCGCAATGCCCGTTGGGTCCTACGTAGGGCCCAGGGTTTGGCCCCCTTCCCACTCACGCATCACGCGGCCCATGAACGCGCCGATAGCGGAGACCACGAGCCCGTGCTCGACGAGGCTCCGTTAGCGGATACTACTGAGGAAGCTGAATGAAATGGCACCGCTCCGAGGGGTGGATATAGCGCCGGCCACGTTGCTACATGCAGCGACAGAGAGAGAGAGAGACAAGGAAAGCTTCGCGACTCGGCGATCCTGGAATTCGGAGGTGTCGGGATCGTTGGCGTCCCCGCGAAAGTAAGCAAAGTAAGCGGAAGAGGCAGCGGCTGAAGAGGTGGTCGTCGTAGTAGAAGCGGTCGTGTGTCAACGATAACTCGACAAAAGAATAATAGAAGAGGTCGTCGTTGTGGTGGTACCGGCGGAATCTCAACGCGCATTCGACACTCGCGTAGTTGAAGACGGGTTGCTGGAAAGAGGACGGCCTTCGGTGAGGCGGTCAAGTCTCTTTGCGCGCGTGAAGTCCATGTTGTGGGCGGTGAGGGCGCAGTAGTAGCGTCGGTACCTTCAGGTTTACGCCCCAATAGGAGTCCACCGTGGTGCTCTTGATGTCCTGCAAGTAGCCTCCGTCGTCCTGGTAGTGGGCGCAGGTCAGCACGCCAATGATGGACGCGAGCAGAGCTGCCGCGGCGGCGACGCCTCCGCTACCAAGTCTGGCATCAACGTACCATCGCGTATTGGGAGATAGATGTATTGGAGAAGGTGCGACAGCGATGGTGGTGGAGGTAGGATGAGGATGACAA